CTGGACGCAGTATACGCAACACTACTGGCGAAAGACCGCCAACTCAATCGATTGAATCCGGTGGAACGTGTGGCTAGCCAACCAGGATTGACGGCAGACTCGCCCACAAGCGCAAGCAGACAAAGACCACGAAACACAAGGAGTCAAGGTCAAAGGTCACTTGCCCATCAATCAGGCTGAAGGCGGATCGAAATCCCAACCAATAGAATTGCTCGCCTCCACGGGCAACCACCGCGGTATAAAATACGCACGCACACCACGCTCAGCGCACTCTTACCGAGGCTCCCCTACGCTATTCTACGCTACTGCACGCTACTCAACTACGCACTGATGATGTCACCTCGATTGGTGACGAAACGTTTGCAACCAAATTGCCAAGCTCAGCGAACAGTTCAACTGCCATAGCACTCCAACTTCCCCATTCAGGCCAAATAGGTGAGCCCGTCTTCATAACTTCGCCTCAAAGTCGTAATCACCAGCAATACCAACACTCTTCTCTCTCCCATAAATAAAATGCTCGCCTAAGGCGTGTCCCCTTCAAATTCTTTACAGTGTGTCGCACCCAGTATTTTGATAGCCATACAGGAAACAAACCTACAGTCAGTCTACCATAGTGTGGAACCAGGCACCATACGCATCGGTTGTCGCCAAGCAAACCCAAGAAAAAGCACTGGCGCCTTTGGTGGCCGGACTGGGAAAAACTGAATTGCCACGGCACGGATGGCCACTACTAGTGCTGCCCACAAATTCACCAAAAACTCGGGAAAGTAGCGCTCCAAAACCACGGTGCCTTAAACCTGTCGTGCACTAATGTCCCTGAATCAAAATCCAATACAATTAAGGGTAATCTATCTGATGATTGAACTCGATGGAATTCCAGCTGTACGGCGATTGGTGTCCATGCTGCACTACGGTAAACTTCGATTAATTCTCGGTGGATGAGAAAGATGCTGTTCTGCTGTCTGCGAATCTATTCCGCAACTCCTCAAGTAGAGTGGATTCTACTAAGCAAGAGGGAAACCAAAAAGCGAAGATAATAAAATGTGATTGCTCACTGTGCTCCTGAGCTTACAGATTCCTTATCTGACGATGCTCAGGTACTCGACCGGCAGCAATGGCGCTACATTCGTGTCGCCTTTACGCTAGAAAATGTCGTCGCCACCTCATTGCCAAGGACCCTAGTGCCACCAAACTACAAAGAGTGAGGTCTCAGGCTGCTGAAACTGGTGTCACAGTCCAAACTAACGACGTAAAGACTTCTAGTGAATTAAACTGTTTCGTAGCAGGCTGTCAACAGAACGGTTTGAAAGCGGCAGGAACACAATCACGGTCAATTGACAACCCAGTGCATGCGGCAATCTCAATGAAAACATCAACTGTAGGATCCGATGCAGGACATGACCGACAACCGAGATTCGGAGCATCTGATGCAAACATACATCCCAACTTCGTATCGAGAGCCTTCAAACGATCCACCAAGCAATTAGCCGCGGATCCTTTATAAGTTGACGTAAAATCACTCGTTTCTTCCATCACATCTACCACGCTTCTGGTCTCCGAGCAGCTCCCCTATATGTACACAAATGCCAAACGTCTGTTCAGCAAATTAGTTGAATTGAGACTTCGACATGCGTCAGCAACTTGGGACCTCATCGATATCACGGAAACATGGTTGTGCTTTGAAATACCGGATGCCAAATTTACGCTAACAGGTATGTCTGTTGTCCGGAATGATAGAGCCAGCAAAGATGGTGGGGTAGCCCTCCACTTTCGCGACAATCTCCAGTGCGAACCCATACATGATTCGAAAACCGTTATGCCCGGCTCTATTTGGTGTGTCTTACGGCTGAGGGGGAACGGTGTTGGCCTAGTGGCTGCAGTTTATCGCCCACCGTCGCCTACACCTGAGATGAACTGCAACTTGGTAGTTGCGTTATGGCAGGTGATAAACAGGAAGCACAGTCACGTTCCAGTCGCTGGCGGTTTTATCTTACATGCTCTAGAATTATAGACCACACCAGGAGAGAAATACCAAGCAGACCTGTAAGACCTAGTATCAAATAGTCTGCTTTATGGCCATGTCACTTCGTCCACAAAATTCACTGGAAATATAGACAATCCATATTGAATTTGATATTCACTAGTGACAAGCTCATGATCGAGAGAGTAATCATCGATAATCCTCTAGGCCGCAGTGATTATGCGACTGTACATTTCATGTACACCTGCAACGCTGAATACCCCGAGGACAACCGACATGGACCCTAACCAGCTACGACACCTTGACTCGTAGAAACGACGAACTAAAGTTTCTTAACCGAGGATGCACTGGATATCGCCTGGAACGTTTCATCAGCACTTTTAACACATTTTTAGTTAGGCGTCAGAATTCAAGACTATCGGTTCGCGAAACATGGCTTCGTTTATATGGACTAGGACATGCAAATTCACGGTGATACGTAAAGAGTAATGGTTTGTCTACAAAACCGATACGAGTCCGCGTAACTAGAATGCCTATGTTGTCCACTGTAACCACTGTACCCGACTAGTGCGCGAGGACAAAGTGGTATACCAGCAGGCTTGAACTCACAAGCTTCTGTACAAGCAAGTGAACAACCTTTGCAGGATGAAAAGTAGATTTCCCCCTCCAAACAGCGGATGATCTAACTCGGACTGCCAACGAAGCGTCGAATGTTCTGCAAAAACAATATGCACCAACGTTTCATTGTATCCCTTGGTCTCCTGGTCTGTTAAAATCTATGGTGGTTCCACCGAGACACACTTGCATAACTTTTACGGCGGACACCGTGATGAAAAACTGCTATCCGTGTGGCTGCAGACCTGTCCCGGCGTTGACGACGTCCGCCCGAACACACTAGTTGTGCCGGCTACTTTTTTGGCTGAACCATTCGTGCGTCCGTTACAGCACTGCCTTGATGAGAGGCGCGCTCCTGCCATGTGGAAACGCGGGACAATGACATCAATTTACAAAGGTGGTAGTCATTCCGACCCAGTTGAATATCGATCATTGACTCTTTTGCCAGATCTTGAGAAGTTATGGTACTGTCATTCCCGACGTACTCATGTTTTAGCTGGACGGCTTTCATCACATTGTTCAGCAGCAACACTGCTTCTACCAAATCGGTCGTGCACCACCAACCTATTGTCAGTACGAGAGAGCTGTACCGAAACGGCGGATGCTGGTGCAGGGGTTGATGTGGTTTAGCTCAATTTCTCTAAGGTATTCGACCAGTTGGACAATAGTATCCTTCTGGCTCAACTTAAGCATGTGGCAATGGGGACCCTCTTTTCAGGTAGAGCGAAAAATTCTCTCGCGCAGGCGTCTGGAGGTGCAAGTGCGTGAATCCATGTCAGACCCAATTCTCGTCGAATGCGGTGTGGCACAGAGTTGGGTAATGTGGCCCCGTTTATTTTTGGTCTTCGTAAACGATCTAGTGCATCAACTCACCCCAAAGTTTAACTCGAAGTCGATGTCATCAAAGTTTGGCGAGTGATCAGAACTCCAATAGATCGTACCTCGTTTCAAAACTACCTGACAATATCTATGGAAGATCAGTCCATAATCGCCTTTTATTTAATGTAGCTAAATACCGAGTATTCCATTTACGACACCGAATGGTTCCCACTTAGAATCTGGGGGACCAGCATCCGCAACACTGTTCTCACGAAGAGCAGATTGGTGTGCTGGTCTCGCAAGATCTCGTCTGCTATTACCAGTCCGAAAAAGTAGCGAAGAAGGGGATCAAAATCCTGGGTATTCTACGGAGGGCTTTCAGGTGCTCCAAAGCATCTATGTTCTGTCAACTACTTCGCGCTTACATACGCCCACATGCTGAACATGTAATTCATGCATAGCATTCATTGTTGAAGCGGAACTTCACTGCCTTGGAGATTCCGTAACCTCGGGAGAGCAGAAATGTTAACGGGCTATGCCACTCGGCATACAAACAGCGCCTCAGAGAGCTAGCAACTTTTAGCTGACGCTATCGACGTTTGCACGTTGACCTAACCATTTTTGTCACCAAATTCTAAACAACCCTAATCACCGGCACCACCACCTGCGGAAGCTGTCACAACAACAGACCGAGTGGTAACTACCTAATTTTTGCAAAATATTACAGTCAGTTGGAATGTTGAAGAAACTTCTTCTTGCTGTATGTTTGCCAATCATGGAATACCCTCACAGAAGCTGTTATTTCAGCTCCAAAGTTAACCTGTATAAAGCTCGTATCGACAGTGCACTGGCCGTACTACTGCATATCACGTAACTCAAACGAGCCACACAAGCAGCAGAAAAATAAATACGCATCAATCCACCTTCATTTTGCCTGGAAACCACATACAGTGACCTTGGATAATACATAAAACAAGACGGAGAACAGTGTAACCGACAAGTTGGTAATTTGTGGTTGTTCACTATCTCCTGTTGCTATTTTTTGCCTTCATTTTGCTCACCCCTAACCGATCATCCGACAGGACATGTCAAACTGCAGCTTTTTTCGTAATATACGATTGCCCATTGATTTCCAGTAGTCGAGAAAGCACGGACGCTCTTTGAACTGGCCCTCTGCGTCCTACTCTTTACCACTCGATCCGATGGTTAATCGCTCTTTAATCTTTTAGCCTTGAGTAAAATTTCGGCTCGTATACTTTTCATCTTTAATAGGACGACATGAACTATGACAAGGTAGTCTGACATAATTAGGTGATCTCTCCATTGTTGGAAATTCGATCTGTAGTGAAATGTTACGTTGATATGAACTGATTGCGAATTTAACGCAAACGGATTTACTCCTGAGGATATTAAAAAGCACTTGAAAATCTAGTGCTTATGAATGGGTAGTTCATCCCAGTTTTTATTGTGTGTTTGTGTGACCGGTACTTTGATTCCGATTTGAACTGACAACATTTCGCACTGAGAGCAGCGGTCAGCTGATTTTTCCGGTAGCTTTAATGGTATTCTGGCCTCTTCCTTTCAGTTTGCATGGAAGAATAATGCATCAGAAACATTTAACACATTTGACTCTTTTGCTTCCTCTGCACGTGATATGGATCGGGACCAGCTGAAGGTGAACAATGCAGCTTTCTCTGGTCAGAATTGGCATCTCACTGAGGAAGTACATGGGAGGGACGAGCCACTGCAATCGATGCCCATGCGATTGGATTTACTTAATATGTTGATGACGCCACCACAGCAGAAGACCTCTTTGAGAAACGAGGGAGTACGTACCTCAATCTCACATGACTTTACGTTTGAGTCTCCGTCAACGCTCACACCCAATTCGCCCAAGAGCTCTAATGAGCCATACGCGAAGTTCGATCACTTACAGCCTCCTGAACAGGAATTTTATCATCTGGCACGGAATGCGGAGCCCATTCTCAGCAAGACAAATAGTTGTGGCGTAAACACAAGCCAATCACTTGTGACGAACAATGGTACTTTCGCATGTGGAGATATAACGAAGCATAGGTCGAATTAGTTCTGACTGGAAAACGACATCAAAATTCATGTGAGAACAGCCTTACAAGATTAACGGTGGCTACTTCTGTTCAATTACCCATATGTGTGCAATGAGAAAGGAACCTACTGCGCACTACCTGAGAGCGTAGTGGTACCGGATAGTTAAAATCACTTCTAAATTCAATCCCGTCCACATTGAGATATGTACTCCTACTGTTGGCACAGTGGTTGACGGGCATGTTACCTAATTTCAAATGCACGTTTATATGATTGTAAATGGATGTTACTGCGCCACTCTAACAGCGAATTCGTTTGTACCATGGCACCGTTGTTAAGGTGTCGTCACTTTTATTTTGCTCGTTCTTGTTTTCATTTTTGACGTTTTGCAATCTATGGAAGCCGGCTAGCTACGGCTGAATGCAAACTTCGCTGAATTAACAAAATCCCTTTGTTTATTTATACTCTGGATTCGTAATATTTTTTATGCAACCGACTCGCGAATCATCTAAAGACAGCATGAAAGAACGGAAATTGACCTAAGCTACACTGATACGTAGTTTATTTCATCCTAGTGTTATTCAGTTCATGTAGTTGTGGAACTTGTCAGATTTTCGTTTGACAATTATGGCAACACACACAACAGACTAGTACGATTGTGGTGCACAGTAGAACAAGGAACAAGGATTTGTCACGAGTAAGAAGCATCTACTTGCCAAGTCCCGTTGGATGGCAGGGGTACAACTACAATATCAAACGATATGTGACTTATCCGTTTAAGTGTCTATTCAGCAAATGCACAGCTGAATAACAGTAATGTCAGATGAGAATTGAATGCAAACGATCTCACATTAAGTGGTAATCGCTGATGTGCTCCGTGAGAAAATCAAAAACAAGAATACTCATTCCTATACCGCCTCCTTAGGTCTATGTGACAAAAATCCGGTTTGGAGACACGACTAAAATATTCGAAACTAGCACAGTTTATGCCGGGAAGTGAAGGGACCCAAGTGCAACATCCAATATTTTATGATAGTATTCGAGGTGGGGGATGAAACAACTGAGTTTGCAAGAGAGTGCCAGGGTTGGCAAACCCGAAGCGGAAAATAATTCCGCCGGCATTTCAGACGGCTGCATCGTTCATTCAGTTTCTACTGGTTTGCCCTGGGATTGGTGTTGTGTCTCTTTCGAAAAGTGCCGACCATGTAATTAGCCTTAGTCAATATTTGGCACATTAATATGAGATTGCCGCACGGCCTTCGGTAGGGTCCGCTGAAAACTCCCAGTGACTTCAGCCTTCGTTGGTAGGACAGATTTCGTAGACCCATGACATTCTTTATAGCCTTGCGTTGTGATATTTCTAGCACCGCCAGATTGCGCCTTAACCAACATTGCCAAGTCTGGATGGTGTATTCAAGTTGAGGGCGCACGTAAGAATTGTGTATCACTGGAAGATTAATTGGCCAAAACTCTTGTATGCCCCCCGGCAGCAGGCCGACTTGCTAATTGTCTCTTTTCGCAGAAGTTTCTGACGGTTTTGAACAGTTAAGTTCACTATGATTGAACAAACGAAGGTCATGTTCCTGGGAGGTGGGTTGCAATACATATGATCTAGGCCAGCACACGTACTCAAGCCTATGGCGTAATTGTACATCGCAACATTTATGTACATTGTATGGTAAGGAATTTCGAACTGACCATTCCGAAATTGTGTTGAGGTCGCGCTGAAGGTTTCTGTGGTCATCCGGTTCCCTGATCGTTCGCCATATCTTGATATCACCAGTGAATGATAGAAAATTGAAGTAACTACCCTCGCTAGATCATTTATGAAAACCAAGAATATACGAGGCCCTAACACCGAGCCTTGTGGTACACGGCACTCCGCATCAATTGCATCGGACAGAGATTCCGAACTCTGATCCTCGACTGACGTTCGTGTAGAAAAGTTTTATCCCACCTAGGATTGGATCGCCAATGCCGTAGTTCTGAAACTTTTGAATGAGAATTCGAGGATCTAAGTGATCAACCGCTTTCTATAACTCCAGGTAGATGACATCGACTTCTGTTCCACCATCAATTGCTTTACTCCAGCTATTGCGTACAGTTAACACGTTTATAGTGCATGAGCGCTTTCGTCAGAAGTCATGTTGCTCCGGGGCTATTATGCTGTGGTTTTCTAGCTAATGCATCAGTGCATCCGCAGTGATAGATTAAATAAGTTTGGAAAGCATAGGAAACAGCGTTAGCGAACGCCAAGTGGTTAGGTCAGTGCAACTACCTCCCTTATGAATAGAAGTGATGACCGCTCGATTCTATATTGCTGCAATTTGGTTCTCCTCTGAACAGCGCTAACAGCAAGTAGCCAGTGGTTCCGCCATTTCATTGGCTTCTGCCTATAGAGTCTTCGGTCGCATGTTATCAATACCAGAAGATCGGGGGGGGTATGGACAACCGCTTCTTTAACACGGCTTCTGCAGGAAGAGCGATGCTGGATAAATCTGATTGGGGGACATCAGAAACAGGGATAATCATGGGCTCGTTACTATCTGGGCTGCTGAGCATTAAGAAGAAAAATAACGATTTGGAAAAGCGTTACTTACATGCAAACAAATGGTTAAAATACGATGGGAGGCAGAGACATTTCCGAAGAGAGGTCTGGGCAGAGTAACGAAAATTGGTCCATTTGTACGGCTGCAGAGTCAGAAAGTACCGAAAATGCTGTACAGTGGTCTGGTTGCTGCTATTTCCGCGTCGTGCACGATTAAATCGCCTGCGATGAGTAGGTGACTGTAGACTTGTGCAAAGCAACCTGAAGAAGGTAGTTCGGTTTGGAGTCTATCTCCGAGGTAGAGTTAGGCGGACAGTACATTATGACTACAAAACACGTGTCTTTGCGGGTATGCGGGTGTTCTCCGAGCTGGTTGATTTGGCTGCAGACGTTTCGTCGTCAGACTAGACGACATCATCAGTGCGATTTATGCGGGTCACTTACAGATCCAAGTGATTATTGATCACTTGATTCGAACGTCAGGAGTCGATTGGTCCACGTGAACTGACCGTGTAGTCAGCTCTCTCGTACTGGTGGCTAGAGTCCGCCTCAATGAGGTTCCTTCGTCCAGTTGATCTTGGGCGGACTATTCTTTTGACCCTCAGTGTCTCATAGGCAGTGTCTAAATCTAAGTGCCTGTTGATTGAGTTCTCTCCCGAGTACCAAGCCTCGATGAACTCGCGTGCTTTTCGACTTTTTGCTCTGCCTATGATCCTGACATTCTCCAAATCGAATTGATGATTCTCGGCGTCCATATGTACCGACATCAGGGAGTTCTGGTCATGTCGGCGGATGGCTAGGCTATGCTCATGTAGCCTAGTGCCGAGCTTTCTTCCTGTCTGGCCCACATAGTATTTGTCACAATTTTTGCAGTGGATTTTGTAAATCACACCACTTGTTTCTTCTATGCCAAGCCGGTCCTTGCCATTGAAAAGGTTGTCTCTGATTGTTTCTGTCGGCTTGTGAGCAACTCTGATTCCGAAAGGTCGTAGCAGTCTCGCCGCCATCTCAGAGATGCCGTTGATGTATGGTAGAGTGATTGTCCTTTTATCCGTTTCTGATGTTTGATCTTGTGTCGGCCGTTTTATTGGTGTTATACAACGTAGAATGAAATTTCTAGGATACTCATTCCGTGCAAACATTTCGAACAGATGATCTTCCTCCGCTTTTCTCAGCTGTGGAGTGCTGCAATGGGTCTGTGCTCTTTTAAATAGAGTTGTTACGCAGCTGCGCTTGTAGACTGTTGGATGATTGCTGCGATAATTCAAGATTTGGTCTGTATGCGTCGCTTTCCGATAAACTGTTGTCTCCAGTTGTCCAGCAGCATGTCTTTTCACTAAAACATCCAAGAATGGTAGCTGAGAATTGCTCTCTTCTTCTTTGGTGAAACGGATACCAGCAAACGTGTTGTTTATTAGCTGATGTGTTTCTTCCACTCTTGAGCGCTTTAGGATGACAAAAGTATCGTCCACGTAGCGTAGCCAGAGTTTAGGTTTTGCGATCGGGAGTGCGGTTTCTTCCAATGCTTGCATCACCGCTTCGGCCACTAGTCCAGATATCGGTGAACCCATTGGCGTGCCTGTTATTTGTTCGTAGATTTGGCCGTTGTAACTAAAGTGTGTCGTGAGGCATAAATCCAACAACTCCATCATGTGGATGGCATCTATTTTATTGTTCGTGTCTGAGGATCCGCGTTGGTCTAGTAGTCTTGACATCGTTTGCCTCGCCAGATTGGTGTTGATTGATGTGAACAGAGCTGTTACATCAAAGGAAACCATGATTTCGTCCTCTTCTATTCTTGTTTCCCTGAGCTTAGCCAGGAATTGTTCTGCAGATTGTATGGAATGTTCCGAGCCAGAGACCAGGTGCTTCAATCTCTTCCAAAGTTCCTTGGAAAGTTTGTAATTCGGAGCTCCAGGTAACGACACGATAGGGTGGAGGGGGACTCCACTTTTGTGAACTTTTGGCAGGCCGTAGAATCGCGGTAACACCGAATCCTCTGGTTTCATCTTACTGTGTTCTAATTTTGTAATCTGTCCCATTTGTTCCAGATTTTGTAGGATGCGTTTGATTTTGCTTTCCAATCGTTTTGTGGGATCTTCGTTGATCGGTTGGTAGGTGTTCACATCTTGGAGAAGGTCTTGCGCTTTCTTCGTATAATCAGATTTGTCCATTACAACGGTGAGACGTCCTTTATCAGCCGGTAAGATAACAATATCTTTAGCTTTCCTAAGGTTTCTCAAAGCTTTTTGTTCAGTTGTGTTGAACATGTTGGTTTCACTCTTGTGTCTCAGGGCCGGAATTATACTGTGCCTGATCGTGTGTTGGGCGTCAGCTGTGATGTTGCATGAGCTCAGTGTTGTCTCAAGCTCTGCGAGGAAATTGATGGGATTGGAGTCTTTGTAGTTGAATTGCATGCCACGAACAACTACTGCTTTTTCTACATCCGACAGGGTTCGTTTGGATAAATTCTTAATCCATGCATCATCTTGATTCACTGCTTTGGGTTTTGAAATTCTCTCTAGTTTCTTTTCCAGTTTCTGCTTTGTGTGGAGTTTGGTGTTGTGCGTTTTGATGGATATCGCCTTTTCAAGCGCTTTAGTCAATTCTAGGCCGAGGTTGGATAAGCATAACTCCTTTTGGACGTCAATCGTTCGGAGATATTTGTGCCTTCGGTTATGTGCGTCAGTGATCAGCATACGTAACATACGTCGTCCGTGTTCTTCGGTGAGTTTCCAGGCCAAAGGATTGTTTATTGGTGGACGGTACTGTACACTTGGCGGCAGAACTTGTCTTCTCAAGCACTCATGAAGGAAGTAGAGTTGCTCCTGCGTGGAACCGATTGGCGTGCCTGTTATTTGTTCGTAGATTTGGCCGTTGTAACTAAAGTGTGTCGTGAGGCATAAATCCAACAACTCCATCATGTGGATGGCATCTATTTTATTGTTCGTGTCTGAGGATCCGCGTTGGTCTAGTAGAGAACACCCGCATACCCGCATCCACATCCCGAGCTACAAATTTTCTCACGTGTCTTTGTTCCGATAGCCGACACCA